AAAAACAACAGAATTATTTTAGATTATCATGAGGTTAAGCAATATTTCGAAGTGCTCAAGGATCTGTAAATAGTTTAAACATTGATCGAGGTCAAAAGTAATTTTTAGTGTATAAAAAGACTACAGAAAAAAAGGTACGGGATTAGAGCCAGAGGCTTTAATTCTCTGTTTACCTCATCTCATTGGCTGATAATATTCCAGTATCAACAAGAATTATATGGTTAAGACTAAACCATAAAAGCGACACCAATTGAAGTTGTTAAATCTTGGGTCATAATTCTTTCTATTTTATTTGTGGTTAGTGGATATTTGACACGCTTATTTTATTGGCCATTTTGTCGACATATTGGTCAAATTAAACACGCTTTCAGCACTCATTTTTTTGTTTATTATAATTTTTGTAGAAAGAAATACTGAAACAGAAAAACACCTTTAACATTTAAGAATAATTGAAGAAGTGAATTTGGATAAATACACTTGAGTTTTAGCATTTTTAGTTCTATTGAAGATTTATTCGCCACCTAAATAAATCTAATGACTTTTTCTTCTGATTGGTTAATATTTCAATGTAAAGAGGTCGTGTAATTAGGATTAATCCGCAACAGCGACACCAGTTGAGGATGAACTTTTGTAACGGTCGAATTTTGGGGGGTTATTTGGAGGTCAGAAGTTAATTTTGATTTAAGGTTGACATGCCTGATTCTTTGCTCACACCAAAAAAAAAAAAAAAAAAAAAATGGGAGCCATTTTGTCAGATTTCGTTCTCATTGGAGAAGTCAAATGAAATTCAAAAACCAGTTTTTAGTTTGCTGGCAATTTTGCCGGAACGTGAGAACACGAGGAATTGTAAGTTTATGTTGGTTCAAGTCTTAATTTGCAAAACTAAATATTTGCGTTGTACCTTTGAGAATAAAAACTAACAAACCAAACTATTAAAGTATCATTATTAATTACAAACAGCAAACTGTCAATCAAGAATCCGGTTTAGTGCGAGACTCAAGAGCCACTTAAGGAAGAGTCTTAACGAAAGAGGTGTGTGGTATTAATAAAAGAGAAGTAAATAGGAAGTGAACATAACGAGGATAGATAAAGAATTAACTTTAACTTGAATCATTTAAGTTTGAAATGATTAACTTGTTGCGGTAAAGCTTGTTGTATTTAGGTTGTTTTCCCCGTAATGATTATTGCGGACTCATATGTGAGTCCTAGTAATAAACGAGTAACACAAAAATAATATAAAACAAACGACAAGGTATTACAATTAACAAAAGTATTACAATTATTACAATAAACGAAGAAAAACATTTAAAGACGAGAATATTCAAATGAGAAATTGTGTGTTTGTAAGTTTGAAGTTTGTGTAAACCTACGTGATAGACAGGTGTCTGAAAGCATACAAAAAGTCACGGAAGAAAAGTAAAACACTGAATATGAACGTTCCCCACTGCAAGACATTTTTTTTTTTTACCACGTGCGACTATATCTTATAGCCAGGGTTGTAAAAGAGGAAAGAGAATGAGTGAGAATATAATTGTCTATTTATAGGCTTAAGGAGGTTCCCTAGCGGCGGCTTTTTTTTTTTAGGAAAGTCAAGTGGGGTAACCCATAAGGTCGTCAAGCCCCGTAGGAGTTTTTTTTTTTATCTTATTGCAGACCCAATACAGGCTATAAGAGTCACTCAAGATAGAGGTTTACTGAATAAGGTTTTATATCGTGTGTATATGAATAGATAACAATTAAGTGGTTAAGATTGTAGTCATCAAGGAAGCATCCTCTCGGGAGTCAGAATGGAATACGGGGGAAATGAGGCTGATTCGACTCCATGCACGTAGTATGGTGAGTCTTAGCTGTAAAAATTTGAACTGGCGGTATTCATTTTTACAGTAGGATTCACTCTGTACAAAGCCCGGGGTCCACTCTGGGTAGAGTGTTAGTAAGTAAGCAGTACAGTTTATGCGGATATGATGGGGTGGGGAGTTAACTGTTAACCTTAGACTTGAACAGGTTAAGATTGTAGTTATCGCGGAAACATCCTCTTGGGAGTCGGTTTCACGGAGATGTGGTTCGCAGGAAGAAGCTGCTTGAGTAGAACTTCTCACCAATGGGATACGGATGGAATAAGGGTGATTTGCTACAATGTAGGTGGCATGTGGCGCCCTAGCATGAGGAGTCAGGTACGTAGTGGGGCGGTGCAGGGAAGCGACCATCAGTACCAGATTAACCTTGTAATAAAAGAAGTAAATGCTACGATTATGATCTGGCAAATGGCTTTTAGAAGTTAAGATCTTTCTTTTTTTTTTTTTAATCTGATCTTCGTGAATGTGTTTTAATTTCCGACATGTTTATTTCATTTGTTCATACCGTAAAATTTCCCCTTTCATCACATGGTTGTAATCGACTTCAATTTATCAAGTGCTTTTATTTTATTTTAAATAATCTTTTTTTAAAAGTTTAATAATTCTTAAAATATATTTTAAATAAAATTTAGATTTAAATGGTAGTCATATATCCTTAACCCACAGTTCTACTTAATTTTGATGAGATATGAGTAGTTAGCCCAAGACTAATACACGTGTTATGGAGATTTTCTAAACGTAGCTTAGCTGTGACACGAGGTTGAAAGTATGAGACACCCAGTGAGGGTCAAACTCAATGCTCAGTCGTAATTGCTGTTGCGAGACAAGCTTAGTAACGATTATACCACATCAAAATTGTCTCAAGGTCCTTGATAAAATCCAGAGACAGATATGCAATGTAATCGGCCCTGATCTGGCATCTCGTCTGCAGCCGCTCTCTCACAGACGTAATTTTACAAATACTTTCACGGTAACTGCTCCGATGAGCCGCATTCGCTGGTTCCCAGACTTCATGAATTTAAGCGTTCAACTTGGCTGGCATCTTGCTCTCACCCTTTCACTGTCGAAACTGTTAAATGTAGTCGTCTCTTCTACTCCAATAGCTTCATGTCTTGCACTTCTTGCCTGTGGAACTCCCTCCCTTTTTCTTGTTTCTCTATAATCTATAGGGAAATATATATATCTCTGTTTCCGCTATAATCTCCAACTATTCAAATGTAATGTCAATCGACGTCTTCAGATGCCTTGATCCATCCCTTATTCTTCGCTTTATCCTTTCCTCCATCACTCCTCTGTGCTCTCGCTCCAACTCTTTGTAATCCCTTGCGTGCTAGTGGCTTCCCGCCTTGCTTGGGGTGAAACGCTTAAAAAAAAAGAAAAAAAATGAAGACATTTAAGCACAGCTTCGATGTGTCACAAGGTCTAAAATGTGGAGCAACCAGTGAGGATCGAGGTCATTACACAGTCGTAATTGTTCTAGCGAGACAAACTTGCTAACCATTATACCAAATCGATTTTTGTAAAACCATACGGTCATACACAACGTTATCAGAGAATAACAGAGGTACCCATAATAAGTTTGAAATTTATTAGTCATTTTTAACATTGTCTCGTCAAGCGTCTTCATAAGTAAGGCTATAAAGTGAAAGTACCTAAAACTAAATAAAATATTAGTTTACCAGTTATTTCTACCATTTCTGTCCCCATTACATAAATTCCACAAACATCAGGTTGTCAATAAATCATTCATCAACCCGAAAAAAAAACATCCTCTCCAAGTAAAACAAATCTTTTCTGCAATGTTTTACAGCAAAAGTAAGTAATATTTGTTTCAATTCAGATTAATTACACTTTAAATTAGCTAATTTTTCTCAAATAACATTTCAGAAAAGTATATTTTATTTTTGAAAAACTTTTTGATAATTAGAATTATTTTGTATTGAGAGATCAGTCAATATAGGCGAACTAGCAGTATGGCCCGGCGTTGCCCGTGCTTGATTCAAAAATCGTACGACTCATACAGCAATCGCTATCACTTGACTTAAAATATTTTTGCCCTTCCTTGCCTTTAAAGGACTGCCCTTTGCCGTGCTGATGTTGCTACATGCCTTACTTCTTGCCTATCTCACACTGCGAATTTTTTCTAAGATCTATACAAAACATTAAATCTGTTACGAAAAAAGAACTAAACAAAATGAACACAAAACGATCAAAAAAAAAAGGACTCGTAACTGGAAAAACCGAATGAAAAAAGAATGTTAACAACAAATACTTTTTCACACCAAACCCAGTTCTGCGGAATCAGAATCAACGTTGAGTTTAAGCAAGCGAATGAGCCAAATGGAGTGAAGTGCCATGCAGATTTAAATTTTTCCCAGTTGTGACGAATGCAGCTATCGATGTTTTTTGCATGCTAGCATGCTAGTTAACATTCTTGTCTGTCAGCTGTTGGCTCTCACGCTGGCTAATAGAATCTTCCTGCCTATTCGTGGCAGTCAGCTATAGGCTCTCACTCTGGCCAGTAGAAAATGGCCACAAACTACATGAAAACTGCTGTAGAAGCATGAAAAAATCGATTATTTCCACTATCGATGGGAGTTGGGAAATGCAAAGTCGGTCTTGGCCTTTCCACTAACTTGGAGCGTGTGCATGTAAATTTTGGTGCAAATCCGACGAAAATTGCGGCCGTGCATTCGTTGCACACACACACACACACACACACACACACACACACACACACACACACACACACACACACTGCCTTTTATAGATAGAGATTTATAGACTTTCCTGAAATTTTCTTTTTGTGTGTCTATTAAGGCAGAATAAAAATTTTGATAAAAGAATCAACAGAGAAAAATGGAAAAAACAAGTTTAGGAAAAGACAAGGATTTTGAAAAAGACAAAAAGAGAATATGTTTATACAATGCTAACATTTTTAAAATAGTAAAATAAAATTTTTATATCACATGCAAATGTTTGGCAATTTCTTTGGTCTGGGTTTTAATTTGGTGTCTTTTCTTCTGGAACCTATTGTCAATCATTCAAATAAATTCCGAATTCTACTATTAAGACGCCAATTAGTCAAATTGTTCAATATATTATACTCATATGTTTCTTTTTCTCTAAAGATATTCCTTCATTTATGGCCATATCACGTAGAAACACCGGTTCTAGTACGAAGTTAAGCAACGTCGAGCCTGGTCAATACCTGGATGGGTGACCGCTTGGGAATGCCAGGTGCTGTCAACATTAATTGACAACAGCTCGGTATTAGAAATCGGAGAGTCGAGATCCAATTCCAGTCGAGTTTGTTATATTCACGCGCAACTACCCTTGGGAAAGGTATTGATCCACCTCTTTTCTCTCTCGATCTATGGGTTAATTAGTATGACTTGTATCAGTAAATCATTGTTATCTCCAAAAGATTCTTACAATCTAAAAATATTTTCTGACTTTAAATAACTTGCAAAAAGTTGATAAGCGATGTGTTTACTTTTGTGTCCCACGAGTACGTGAATATGCCGAAAAATTTTCGGCCGTACCCACTTTCTAAAATTTAATCAAATGACCAAATATAAGTACAGATATAGCCCACCTTACGACAATAATTGGTTCCAAATGCCGTAACATTACTCGGCTTTTGACGTTGTAGTAGTAGGCTAAGTTCAATAAATAAAATAAAAATATTTCTTAAATCCTCTGAAAAGTGCCATCTACTTATCATCTCTTCAACACCACCTCATTTATATTAACACCGGCATTCTTAAGGTCAGATTGTCGGAGTTAACTCCTGCTTAATTTCTTAATTGTCCAAATTGTTCACTAGGTTGCGCGCTCCCGAGACTATATATACACGACGAGAACCTGCCTTGTTCTATTTTACTTTGCATTTTAGAGGACATATTTAAAAAAATGTGATCTCTCGCGGAGATATGCGTTTTACCCACTTGTGGGAAAACGCCATGGAACACACACACACACACACAAACATACTGATATGACATATTACAAGAGGAAAAATGAGAGATGAAATGACATGTGAAGAGCTCAAAGCAACCTTCAGTGTCTGTAGTTGAGTACTCACAAAAGAATACGTCTTTTTGCGATGAAAAGTCACCGAGAAAGAGATAGATTCTTTCAAATCTCGCGTCGCCTGTAATTATCATCAGGGGCGGTAATCTAACAGACTTTTTTCAACATCATTATGCTTAAGATGCTCTATCATCCACCACTCAGCATTAACGAAAATGCTGTAACTTGGTTTTAGGCTGTCAAAGATCATAAATGTACCGAGAAAAGCATACCGCTAATCATGCTCGATTTTAGGGCAAAATTAAAACAAATTTTTAGCAGCAACAGAAATTTAGTTACTTCGAAAAGTTCACTATTCAAAATGCCGAGGATTCAAAGGGTGAAAGTTGAAAATTGAATTAAGTGGTGAGAAAATGTTTACTTTCCTAAGCCGAAGCTGCTTTTCTATGTCTTTTTGACAAATACTCAGAAGTTTGGAACAGGCGTTCTCAAATTTGAAATAAACTTTCACAGGTTTATAAAAGTCATTTGAATGAGATAAAATCATAAGTTTATAAAAGTCATTTTTATATGAAACAAAACTGATATGTTTAGAAAAGACATTCGCATATCAAATTTAAAAATTTCATCTTTTTCTTTTGTTTCTTCTAATTCAACAGCTACAGCAGTAGTAATAGCAGTAGCGGCTTTTTAACAAATATTTCTAGTTGTTTTTCCTCTTCACAATTTTAAATCAACCATGTTAATTGACATTTTTTGTCGTGTTCCTTAAATCGTTATCCAGCATAATAAGTTTTACATGGTCAACGATTTAAACAATGATATATGCGCTTTCTTAAAACTTGATCTATAAAAGCGACACTAATCCCAAATTAAGGGACAACAAAATGAAAAAAATGGAAAAAATAAATTGAAAAAAAAAAGAAGAAAATATTAATTATTTTTTGTGAATTAATCTCTCAGATCTCGTTACAATCCTTCACATTTTATATATTCGTACATTTGGTATTCACCTAGCTACGTGTACAAATACAGTACGAATTCAAAACCAGGATTAGAATCATAGTAGACTTGAAAGGGGACCAAACTTGGAGAAAGAAAACCCTGATTTTAAAATCAGGTATGAGTACAAATATAGCAAAGTGAGCACTTTCGCCTTGAAAGACAACCAGGACTCGAAGGGAAAGATAATGCATATTAAATAACTTAGTAACTAATAGAAGAATAATAATATGAGATCATCTATAAAAGGCTTATTAAAAAATAAGTTTAATAAGCCTTTTAAAGAACAAATATAATAAACTTTTTATAGACATAAATAACCTTTTTATAGACACAAATATTTCTGATTGGTTATATATGTTATAAAATAAAATAAGGCAAATAAACTAACATACTCAAGAGCGAGAGCCGGATGTGAACGGGACAAGGCCCCGTCACAAAATGACCATTATCGTCGTTTACGCATATTCTCGACGCACGAGTTCCGGTCGAAAAATAAAATAATATTTTAAAAGTGTTTCTATTTTTCGACCAATAAACTCTTCCCTCCTAATTATACTCGCGTCGTTTTTCGAGCCTGTTAAGCCATAAAAAACGCCATAAAAGGTCACACGGTGAAGTACAACAGCAGTCAACAGGAGGCCAGGGAAGAGACCTGTCACGGTCAGGATGAGCAGTCAGTAGCTGTCAGCAGCAGTAGCGCCACGCCAACCAGCGAGAACTACTATGAGAGATCAACCCAGGTCGGCAGCCGGCTTATGAACTATACCACAAGGTAGCTGTCCCAAATCCACACGTTCCTATTGAAATAAAGCACGTGAGTCTATTTCTGCTGTTGTCGTATTTCCTTCTTGCAACCAGACGCTTGTCTATAACATATGTAAAAATATTTAGTAAGTTTTAAGGGTCAACACATTAAGATCTGTTGGCTACTCCCACTTGGCTTTCCCATGTTAGCCAATACGTCGTTAGGTGGCGCTGTTAAACAACTTAAAAAAAAAGACGGGACACTCCCTGTTTCTTTCTTTTTTTTTTCTCTCTCTTTTTCTTCTAGCATGCGGTAGTGATAACACCAGCGTGAGATTTTTTCCATGCTTGGGGATATTTTCCCCGTGAGCAACTGAATTCTTTCACACACAGACACATACATAGGCGCGCGCGCAGACACATGGGTGTGTGTCAGTCACACATAGAGACACACACGGTTCCTAATTGCTGCATCATAATGTCTTCTTTCTTTTCAGCTATATTTTCATGACATACTTGAGTATTTTCTCTCTTTTTTTAATCAGTTAAATAGTTATATAAAAACACATGAAAATATCAGCTTGTTGACCTTTATTCTACTTCCTTTCACCTCTACAAATAATGACGTCATTTTACTTGTGCAAATTTTGTTTGTCGTTGCTTTCCGTCCAGCTAGAAGTTCAAACCGCAAAAGATTCGACTCGTTAAATTAACAATGACATGCACGATAAACCATCGCTCTGTTTACCAAAAGTTAACAGAATAGACATTAAATTAAATACACTTCAAATCATGAAGCAAGTAATGTTATTATCTTGATCCTCAAAATCTGGTTAAGAGTTTCGAAACGGAATGTGAAAAAAGGCGTTTGATTGGTTGACAGTTAAGAGATGACGTGTTTTGGAGTAATGCACACCAGCGACACCAATCGAGCTAGGCCAAAACAGTGGCCAAGTAAGTGATGTGCCATACGTTATACACGCTTAGGCGATCATGTATCTTTCGATACGTGGCTGACGAGGCAGATTTTTTCCCGCAGTAGGTTGCTATTTCTTTTTACGGTATAGAACACGATCTGTCCTGCTATTTACCCATAGCTGAGGGTAGAAGAAGAGGATTATACCTTTCCCAAGAGTATTAGCAAGTAAATGAATGTAATGGATTCGACTGGAATTCGAACTCGGCACTCCGATTCCTCAATCCGAGCCCATTACTTCACCGTGCCTCTTCATACAAATTCATTTATAAAGACTATTTTTCTTCTTGGCAAGTTTTTGTAGATATGGCCATAAGTTTATAAGAAAAAAAATCTCAATTTGCAATTCAAAATATTTCTTATATATTCTCACATTTACTGGGAGTATCAGTATCTGCCTAGCTTATTCAAATAGAAATAGATTTCTAAGGTAGGTTTATTGAAGTATATATATAGGACGAAAAGTAAAAGGGGGAAAGATATAATCAAACGAAAAAGTTTTATGGGAGGGAGATTTTAGAAAGAATAGGGGTAATATTTTGAATTCGTTTCAGATAAATCTACAATTCTACTTGAAGGTTATTCATTCCTAAAGGAGACAGAGAAGAAGAAAAAAGACGCTTGGAAATTAAGTTTTGAAAAAAGACTAAATTAGATTGGAAGATCGACGGCATTCAAATAATTCTGCCATTCTTATTCAAGATTACTGAAGCGTAAAAGAGGTGAAATGGCGAGGAAAATAAATGACAAAAATAAATAAATAAATATTAAAAAAAAACAATGGAAAAAGGGTGAGGAAAAGAAGAATAGAAAATTAAGTTTGGAAAGAGAATAAATCAGACTAAGAGAAAATAGATTTCGATTTCATTCTTATAACTCTGTACGGTATTTGAAGACAAACAAATTTAAGCGTATTAGGCTGGCGGGCTTGGGGTACAGCAACCCCAACAGAGCAGTCGGAATGTACATTTTCAGGGCAACTTAGAAAATTCCATTTGGTCCAACATGAACATTTTTCTGCCGTATGCCTATGCATCATCATCATCATCATCATCATCATCATCATCATCCCCTTGACTTTTGTAATCGTAGGACGAATCCGAATGCAAAAGCCACACTAAATATTTTCCACAACGGTCTATCAATGGCAGCCACCAGCAATTCTGGTACAGTCATACCTGTCCATTGTTTGACATTGTCCAACCACTTTTTGTGTTGGCGTCCTCTCCTGCGTTTACCTTCAACGGTGCCTTGCATGATGGTCTTGCACGGGCTATTATCGTGCCTTGTAATGTGTTCCAAACGACGCCATTTTTCTCCGTTTGACAGTGGCGAGAAGTGGTTCCTGGTGTCGCACAAAACTTCCAACCCTTTTCCACAAAAACTCATTGTTTTTTTTCCTTCCCAATAGAAAATGACAAGGAGTTTTCTCATGCATTTGTTCTCAAACGCTTGGATCCATCTCTCTCTATCTGCCACTAGTGTCCAC